AAAAAAAAAAAGAGTTTGTTGTATACTCTGTACCTAAGCGACGATCTTGAACCGTTTGACTCGAAAATAGAACGTACTTTCACACAATGACACAATGAACATAAATAAAAACAACAATATCAAATGGCTGACGATTAAAATATTTCTATTTCTATTCAATTAATCGGACAAGTGATCGCAAGAGTAGCGGTACTACCGGATCAGCATCAGGAGCGAGGACAAATAAACGAAGGATTGAACAAAGCATCATTTTTGAAGAAATGTCACATAGGAATTGTACCTAAGGATAAGAACATAAGCAGGCTGATGTCATACTTTGCAAGTATGGAGGGTAAAGATGTTTATCGAATATGTAAATATAGGGACATTTTTTTCAATGTGAAGTAGTTGAAATTTTTTATTACTTTTCAATATGTTATTATGCCAAAATTGAGGATGAATTTTTTCAAGTAGGGGATTGATATAGGATAATTCCTCTAGAAATCAATTATAACTACTAGTTTTAGGATTTTATTATTATTTATGAGCTTCCTGGAAGTTATAGGATTCAACTAATTTTATTATTTAGTTGATACAATTTTTACTTCTACTAGAAGTAGGTTATTTGTTTTGTGTAATTATATTTTAAATATTCAATAAGTAAAAATCCTAAGAAAAGCTTATAATTTGTTGTAAAATTATGAGATAACTATTGATATCTATTTGGTCTCATCAAAATATTTAAATAAGTTATATCTACTCTGAAAGAGTCTATTTTACTCCGATTGAACTTTATAAATACAAAATAGCCTTGGTTCTCAATAAAAGACACACTTGACTTGTGACTATCTCTCTATTATTTTTTTATATTTCTCTCTTTCTTCTTTAATTTTATAACACATTACCAGCACAATCTTTCCAACAAAATTTTCATTAGAAAAAAACATAGTTTATTAATATAGTATTCCTATATCTAAATATTACAGATATTTGTTATTACTCTTGAAATAGCGCAATATTACAATTAATATTCCATAAGAATAATATTATTCACTCTTGAAAAATGTAAATTATATTTTTTAGTATTCCATGAGAATATTGCATTGTTGCACATGTAGAGCACAATTTTTTAATTTTAAATTATTATATTGATCTAAAGGTATAACAAATTTGTAATATCAATATTAAAAAGAATAATGTATTGTTTAGCTTGGAAGGTAGAACGAATTATTAATATCAATATCAATATTCCATAGGAATATTGCATTGTTTATAAATAAACTAAAATTTACTCCTTATGAAAAATATATATCTCATTATATTTTTGAAGAAGCACAACTTGATATGAAAAAATTAGTTTTGATGTTCCTAAAGAAACACAATTCAACTATATAAATATTCAAGAAGACTATTATTTTGATATTTCTAAAGAAATCAAAATTTTATACAAATCAACATTCTAGAAGAATATTGTGTTAGTCTCGAAAATTAATTTTATACAAGTATTGAGTTTGATAAATATGTTAATGCTCATGGAGAAGCATAACTTACATACAAATAATTCATTATTCTAGAAGAATATTTGGTTATTTCAAAGCACAACTTATACATACTAATATTTTGTTGTATATGGATAATCATGAAATTTTAATTACTACTACTTTTTGAAGAATATTGTTTAATTATTCATAAATAAATCAAAAGAATATCACGACATTACTTTTGAAGAAGTGTGACTCTACACGTATTAATATTCTCAAAAAATATTATGATGGTGCTCTCCAACAATCACACTTCTCAAAAATTATAGATACATTCGAATTAAATATTGTCCTAAACTCGAAGTTTGTTAATTTGAAAAACTTTATGAATTTATGTAGTGTTTAGAGAATGAGACGTGCATAACGTACATGTAGTACGTACAAACATCTAACTAAACTCAAGTTAGAAATGGACACGTAGGGTACATATTTAATATTTTTATTCACGTAGCTAGGGTACGTATTTAATATTTTTAGGAAATTTTACAAAAATGTCTAATTCCATGTCTATCAATTAAAAAATGTCTAATTTTGATAACTCTTGCAAAAATAGCTAAATTTAGTACTGAATTGTCTATTATACCCTTAATGAAAAATGAAGCATTTTTTTCAATTTGTCACAAATTTCGAAAATAAGAAGTAGCTTCAATGATAAGCTACATTAAAATGATATTTTTGATATTTTAAAAGTTGTTATCGATATTTGAACCTTATTTATCTTGATATTTCATTTGTATAGAACAAGATTTCATTCCGAACATGCAGTTCTCTACATTTCAAAAAGTTCTTGAGATTTGAAATGTAGTTCTCGATATTAAATAGCTATGTCAATGAGAAATATAGTATTTATAGTGATTTGACATGTGTACTTTTGAAATAAGTAGAGCA